CCTTCCTTCCTTCCTTCCTTCCTTCCTTCCTTCCTTCCTTCCTTCCTTCCTTCCTTCCTTCCTTTCTGAAACTGACCTCTGAATTTCTTATCTAGTCTACACTGAGAGCAAAAGTCCATACTAATGGGAGGTTGTGACTGAACTCTAAGTTTGGGGTTAGGTTTAATTGAGGTGACCTTGGAATAATAAATAGTATTTCATCTTATCCTCCCATTTGCAGTGTCTGACCGCAACTGTTTTTTGTAATAGTGCCCATATTTGTCAGGAATGTTCTGTTGGCACAGGAACTGTGATTTCAGGCAAATATCCCCTCTCCTCTTGTACTGGAACTGTATACAATATATCCCCCTCTGTTAAGAGGAGCCTTGACCTTTCAGCAAGGATATATTGTGAAAGTAGAAGAGGGGACTAAAAGATGGAAAGCATGAGCTGTTTTGCTTACAGAACAATTGGAGTCAACCCTTTAACCTGAAATGAGATATTATAGCAACAGCTGGATAATATGATACTGTGCATGTCCTGTTTTAGTAAAACCAAGAATTTCCAGACCTGGAATTCAGCAAGGAAGTTCATCAGATAACCCAACTGAGATATCAGTAACAGTTGGGGAAGAAGTGACACTTCCCTGTGAAGTGAAAAGTTTGCCACCTCCTATAATCACCTGGGCTAAAGAAATGCAGCTTATCTCTCCATTTTCTCCCAGGTAACTGTTATATCGTTTGTTTACTTTATTTGATTTTCTGTAGAATTTGTCTCATTGATGTGAATAGATATAGCTAGATAACTCTGGCCTTATGTAGATTATTAATATACACAAAGAGTTGAATGTTTAATCTTACATTTTATTTCAGTCCCTACCTATTTAATGAGTAATGAACATTTAATATGTGAAGTATATTGTCTGTGCCCTCTGCAATCATATGGAAGCCTTCCACAATGTGATGCTCTCTAGGTGTGCTAGATGTAATGTCCATCATCCTTGGTTATGCAGATAAGATTTGTAGTCCAATACATTACTGGATTAATACTAAATAAATGATAATAACTTTGTAACTTTGGTTTTATAATCTTTTAATTAGGTATTGCCGATTTTAGTTTGTTGTAAGCCGCCCAGAGTCCCCCGTTGTGGAGATGGGCA